TTGAATGAGAATGTGGATATTATTGTTGATCAATTTTCTTAAAAATTCAAATCCACTATCATCTATAACCAGTCTCCCATGCTCTCAAAGAAATATTTGTTGGAGATGTTCCAAAGGAATATCTACGGCGTCATCGTTAACAAGATAAACTAATTTATACATCATTCAGTTCTTTCAAAATTTGATTTTTATGATCGAAATAGTATTTAAAAAACATGTTTAGATACACGTGTGAAGCAAATCACGTTGTTGTCTCTTTTTCTTTCCTTATCTAAACGTTATATATTTATGACATCATACGTGATTTGAAACGTGAAGTACTCACAAGAGATTGAATAGAAAGAGAAAAACAAATTATTTTTATATTATCACGATAGAAAAAATGAATTTTTGGGAAGAGAGTGATACCTGATAAACTATTTTCAATGACAAAGTTTATTCATATATATTATTGAAGTTATTCTATTTAGATAGAGATTCTAGAAATGAAAAATAATTCGAAGATCGATAGATAAAAATTACACTGTAATAATAGAAAACAGTTTACCTGATATCGAGGATAACTGTCGATGATGCTGTTGAACCGTTGACATACATTTCTTATGGAGCATAGCATTGTAAGATCTGACTGATGATCCAGAATTCGGTAGACAAGTTCTACCGGTAGTGTCAAGAAGGTCGCGATGGTTTGGTTAGCCATTATAGACTGCTACTGAAATGTGTATTGTATAGAAATATATGTTGATTGTGTAATGTGTTGTTACTTTTTCTTCCTACTCAATGAATATATATATTCGTCATGCATCATATATTTTTGTATGATATTGCAATTACTTGTCGGAAGAAACAAACGAAAAATAATGACATCATTTTTGACGACAGAATCATGATAGGAAGTATAGTTAAACTTTTTATTATGATTATTTTAGCAATATAAAATGAAATAGAATAAACATGACTATGGCGTTTCTGATTATAGGTAACAAAGTTTGAAGAACTCTCTTTTTCTTTGTCGATATCAAAAATGTAGATTGTTATTTAATTATAAAATCGAATATAGATATTTTCTAAGATGAAACCGAATTTATATTTAAGAAACAGAACTTGAAGAATATATGGGAGAAAAAGCTAAGATTATTACTTTCATGGTTGACGAATGTTACTACAGCTTAATCTGTTGTCAAATAAATTTTTTTGAAATATTAACAATATTTTGCTCCATATGTTAAAATAACATTTATTGTTAGATAATATTAATACAGAAAATAAAAAACAATTATATTTTTGTTAAATGATACTACTGATGTTGTTAAAAAATAAATTCAGTCATCTCAATTAAATAACAATAATAGTAATAAACAAATTATATTGAATAATGCAATAATGGCTGCAGCTTTATGGTTACCTTTTCGATCTAGAATTTAATGATTGTGTATTATCTCTTGTGTATTACAAAATATTGAAACTGAATAAAATAACATAACAGTTCAAAAGTTAAGAATATCTTCTTGTTGTTTACAAATACATCTATTCCTCTTGATATGACCCTAAGTCTTTTTATGTTCCAAATAAAAAAATATATTTGCAATGTATACAAGTTCATAAATAAATTTTCAGTATTCTTCGTCACATAGATCTTTTGAAATAAAATATGCGACTAGTTTGTTGAAAGAATATCCAAGAATCGCAAGAATTTTATATAAGATTCTATTGTTCAAGGATGAGACAATATCAAATTGAATACAATTCATTAATAAATAAAACCATGTTTATCTCTCTCGATTCGAGACGAAAAATACAAGTTTGACTCTTGTGAAATTTATTAGTACATGTTCTAAGTATCAGTTAAATGAAAAACAAGTATGTTATTGTCATAGAATATACACTTTCAATTTCTTGGCTATCATAAATTATGGTTCGTTTTATATTTATACCCAGTGTACTATGTTCTTATTCATATAGAATAAATATTATATTCTAAACTATTGTCAATAAAACGTGAATTATTCGACGTAAACATTGATTATGATTGTTGATATGTTCTGGGCATATTTCAAACTTTTAAATTCATTTCAAAGTATTTATTAATTGATTACAATAGTCGATAGAAAATAATGATACATTTTGTTTTCATTATTTATTGAAAAAGAAACATTATGCGAATGTATTTTCTTTTGTGAAAGACGATCTAAAAGAAGTGTTGAAATGTTTGAGGGTAGAAATTTGCATCCACCACCTCCCCCGCTTCCATCCCCACAGACGTGATCGACATAGTAAGGGATGAACCATATCCCGCAACCGAGAGAACTTTTCCGCTTCGCGGAGAAATTCTTTTTCGACCGAAGTCGAAACAGTTGAAGTGCAAACGTTCATTCATATCTTCACTCATCAGGAGACATGGAAGAGACACAGATATGAATCATTTTATTTTTTCACTCCAACAAGATATATAAACAGATATGAGTTGTCACCAGCAGAAATGAATAAATAATAGTGTGAAATGATCCATCAATATCTCCACTCATATAGAGAAATAGAAGAGACAGTGACGTGACTTATTTTATTTTTTCACTCTAGAAAAATATTCTAGTAGATATGATTTTTTATTAGAAGAAATGAATAAATAACTTTGTGAGATGATTAATCTATATCTTCACTCATAATGAGTAATGAAACTTGAAAAAAAACGATTTCTCTCCAATAATGAAAATATCCATATCGTATTGAATTAGATATTAAATGGATATATTTTCACGTTTGCACCTTTTCTCTTTGAAAAACGAATGTCTCTTTGTATGGAATATTCGTATGGTACCGAATAA